ATGGGACGAGTACGAGGAGGGAGATACCATTCTCGTCATCGACTTCGAAGAAGCCTTCCACGTGCGAGCTATGGGAACCCGGGCTAATGAACTAGCAGCCTGAGCCAATGCCAAGAAAGCCACCAAGTCGTTTGAAGAAATAGTCCCAGAAGAGTACCAAGAATTCAAGGACATTTTCGACAAAGAAAATTTCGACGAGCTACCACCCCGTAAACCCTGGGATCACGCCATTGAGCTGATTCCCAACGCCAACGCCAACTTAGACTGCAAAGTCTACCCTCTCAACCAGGCTGAGCAGGAAGAGCTAGACAGGTTCTTAGACGAAAACCTGTCCACAGGTCGAATTCAACCCTCGAAGTCTCCCATGGCTTCGCCGTTCTTTTTTGTCAAGAAAAAGGATGGCAAGCTACGCCCCGTCCAAGACTATCGAAAGTTAAACGAGATGACCATCAAGAATCGGTATCCGTTACCACTTATCGGAGAGTTGATGGACCGACTGAAGAAGGCCAAGTACTTCACCAAGTTGGACGTGCGCTGGGGTTATAACAACGTGAGGATTAAACAGGGGGATGAGTGGAAGGCCGCTTTCCGAACCAACCGCGGACTCTATGAGCCCCTGGTGATGTTCTTCGGACTAACCAACTCTCCCGCCACGTTCCAATGGATGATGAATGACATCTTCAAGGATCTCATCGCGGCCGGAGAGGTATCCGTCTATTTAGACGACATCCTTATCGCTTCAAAAACCAAGGCGGAACATCGACGGATCGTGCGCAGGGTACTGCAGATTCTCCGCGAAAACAAGTTGTTCCTTAAAGCGGAGAAATGCGAGTTCGAGGTGGAGGAAACCGAATATTTAGGAGTGATCATCAGCGAGGGGAAGATCCGTATGGACCTGGTCAAGATCGCGGGACTACTCGACTGGCCGGTTCCTCGGAGGAAACAAGAACTACAATCCTTCCTGGGATTTTGCAATTTTTACAGACGCTTCATCCGTGATTACAGCAAGCACGTGAGGCCCTTAACCTCCTTGACGGGAAAGCAGGAATGGCAGTGGGGAGAAGCCCAGCAGAAGGCGTTCGAAAGGCTCAAAGAGTTGTTCCGCGAGGACGTTGTCCTAGCCATTCCCCTGGATGAAGGAAAATTCCGGGTAGAGGCAGACTCGAGCGAAGGAGCGATGGGAGCAGTCCTTTCTCAATGGCAGGACGAGAAATGGAGACCGGTTGCCTTCCTCTCCAAGGCCCTCTCAGTCACCGAGCGCAATTATGAGATTTACGACAAGGAGTTGTTGGCTATAATGATCGCTCTCGAAGAATGGCGCCAGTACCTCATGGGGGCAAGAGAAGACTTCGAAATCTGGACCGATCATTCCAACCTCCAGTATTTCCGTAAACCACAGAAACTCAACCGACGACAAGCTCGTTGGGTTACTGAGTTGGCGGAATACCAGTTCAGTCTACACCATAAGCCGGGGGCTCAAAACCGAAAGGCCGATCTGTTATCCCGAAGAGCAGATCACGACCAGGGGAAGGAGGACAACCGAGACGTGGTAGTCCTTAAGGCCGAACACTTCAGGTCCCTGGTAATGCCAACATCAGAAGAGCTGCATGAAAGGGTTCGGGTGGCTACACATGATCCACGTCACTGGGATCGAGGAATTTCAGACTCCCTGAACCACGAGAAGGGAATCTCACGTGAGCAAGATTTACTATGGTACGACGGACGGATCTACGTACCTGTAGACCGCGACCTTAGAGGACAGATCATCGCCCTCAAGCATGATCATGTCACCGCGGGACACCCTGGTATCGAAAAAACCAAGGAGCTGGTGCTTCGCGACTACTGGTGGCCGAGAATGCGTCGAGATATAGAAGCGTACGTAAAGGGATGCGACGTCTGCCAACGGACCAAGGCGGATCGTCGCCCAAAGAAGGCTCCCTTACACCCTAACGAAGTCCCCGTACGCCCGTGGACTCACATTTCGGTAGATATGATCACTAAACTACCGAACTCCAAGGGCTTTGATTCCATTCTCGTCATAGTCGACCGCTTCTCTAAAACGATTATTCCCATCGCGTGCACGGAAGAGCTCACTTCCCTCGGTTTCGCCAAAATCCTGAGGGACTACGTCTATGTACCCTACGGGGTAATGCCAGAGAAAGTCATCTCAGACCGAGGTTCCGTCTTCGTCTCCAAGTTCATGAAGGAATTTTATACTCTCATCCACGTCCAAGGGAACCCCTCCACTGCCTACCACCCGCAAACGGACGGACAGACGGAGAGGGTGAATCAGGAGATTGAAAAATATCTAAAGATGTTTGTCAACGACAGACAAGACGATTGGAGCGAATGGCTACCTCTAGCAGCCTTCACTCACAATAATCGCCAACACTCATCTACAGGGTACTCTCCATACAAGGTGGTATTTGGAAGGGATGGACAAGTCATTACCGCGGCACAAAGACCGACCGCAGTTCCAGCAGCGGCAAAGTTGGTGGCGGAAATTGAGAAAGCACAAAGGGAGACAAAGGTGTCCCTCGAAAAAGCAGCCGAGTTGATGAAAAAAGCCTACGACAAACGCAAGGATCAGGCAACAGAGTATCAGCCTGGGGACAAGGTGTGGCTAGACACAACCAACCTAAGTCTCCCTCGCCCTACGAAGAAGCTCGGGGACCGTCGGGTTGGACCCTTTACCATCGTGTCAAAAAAGGGAGCCTCAGCTTACGAACTAAAATTACCTATCAAGTGGAGGATTCACAACCGATTTAATGAGTCTCTCCTAACCCCTTACACGGCCCCGGTCTTTCCTAATCAACCACACCCTGATCGACCACCTCCAGAGTTAATTGACGACGAGGAGGAGTACGAGATTGAAGAAATTGTAGAGCAACGGGATAAAACCATCGGTCGTGGACGAACCCGTCGCGCTATAACAGAATATCTCGTAAAATGGAAGGGATACCCGCGGGAGGAGAACTCCTGGGTCAAACGTTCGGATATGGCCAACGCAGAAGAGCTGGTAAACAAGTACGAAGCACACCTCCAAAGGATTCATTGGGAGGTCAACAAATATGGGCGAACGGTGGGGAGAGATGACAAAATACCACCGGACGCTGGAACGGCTTACCACGACCCGGATACCCCATGCGTCACGGATATCGAAACGGTTTACTCCTCCGAATGCACAAACCCGAGACACTCCCACGCACAATCATCGATAGCGATGCGAGAAATTACCACGGAGGAAGCAGATGGCATACCCATCGTAGAAGAAACAGAAAACGATGAGGATTCCAAGCTAGACCTCAAGAACTTACAAAGGGTATACGAGAACTGGGATTTCGACTCCGAAGATGATGACAACGATGATGACGATACCTGGTCTTTCTACAGCCAGTCCGCGCAGAGTGGGGAGAGTCAGGATTCATTCGGGACGAACGAATCTTAAAGGGGGGGTAATGTTACGGTTATTCCTTTTCTTTTTCTTTTCCTTTTACTTTTCTTTTCTTTTCTTTAGTCAGCCGGATTACGCGAGGCGCGATCCGCACGGACTGACTGCGCAGTAGTATTTTTAGAATACTCGCGTGTATTTAAGTAGAGCCTCAGCTGGTCTAAACCCCAGCTTCGGCTAAGGTTTAATCTACCTAACATCGAACTCCGTCCTTCGTGACTATTTGTCCCATCGACTTTCATCGCCTTTGACTTGCTAGAGCATCGTCTACCGAAGTGCGAGTAGCGATCCTAGCACGATCTAAGTCGATAGAGTTAGTGGCTAACAAGTATGTGTTTTCAATCAAAAGGAATCGTTGAAACTTAAGGAATTGGATCCTGCATGCCATAGGGATGAGTAATTTCAGAGACCAGCAGGAGTCAGGACTTTGTAACGTACTCATTAGGGAGTCTTTCCATCCGTTGTGCGTGAGCCGATAACCGCTTGATGAAAGGTGTTACCTTGGAATGACTCCAAAGAAGGATGGTAGACATGTATGAACACTTATCGATGTAAGCAGAGCCGAAATGGATAGGGTCCGGAGTTATCGGCATGAGAATGATGGTTGGATTTGGGTTGGATGATGCGGCATACGGCGGCCAGATCCGGATAATTCATACTCCGACGTCTTCCTCATCGAAAATTAGAATACTACTACCAGCTAACTACCAGCATCATGCCGCTACCTTCATGACGATATGCGGACGATGGTCAGCGACTTCTGTTACACAAACATGGAGGTGATCAAGAGCTTTGCCAATTTATTTGAGGCTGACGCAAAGGATTCTCTCGGTACTTTCCCTTTCCACGATTGGCGAAGCTTATTTTGCTGACCCAAAATATCGCAGATCAATCACCTGGCAACATTGAATTATCGGGCTTTTCTTTTTAGCACAAAATTGTGGTATCGATGCACGACAGGACGCAGGCATAGGCTTGAGCTGGGATGGGACGATCCATATCCGTGTTTGGGCGCTGCGATGGTATGTCAATGCCGGTGCGTTGCACAAGTTGTTCACCAATGTCATTTTCTCACACAAATAAAAATCCAGACTTTTTCGGGTTGTCTTTTCCTGTGCTGGCTGGTCCTCTCCCGACGTTAACCCTAAAATTGACTTGCTAAGAGGAGAAGGTAAGCAACTTTTGTCGCTTCTAATAATTTAACGAAAAACTGAGCATGTATATGAAACCCATACAGCCAATTTATGATTCTGTCGGAAGGTTCTGGAAGAGTATGCAGCAACAAAGACCTGGCTCTCGCTGGTATGTACGTCATACAGGCATTCCCTGCCACTTTGATAGCTGATTCTGGTATTAGATACGTATGCTGTTGGTGGTGAGATAGTAGGACCGTCACATCAGAGAATGGTGTCCCCTTGTTATCAACGTACTTTCTGCGTGGAGTTTCTGTTGATTATCTTTTTATAACTCAGGACACTTTGACTTTAAATACAGAAAGAATACCAGATCTCATAATAGATATGCGAACTCGAGAGAAAAGGCTAACAAACTATAAATGAGGTATGTATGTGGTCCATTGTACGGTATTCAGAGATGAAGGCGGGAGGGAACGCAACTGTGTAAATGCGAGGACAATTAAAATAATCCGCCCCCCAAAGTATGCCAAGACACCAAGGACCATCAGCAGTATCACAGATATTCCCAGCATGATGATAAATATTGATAGTACCATAAAAACAGGAAGAATAAAAAATGTCTTCGGGTGACATAGTAGGCGAGGGTTCAGCCTGATGAACCAAATCCTCCTGTAAATCCCTTGTTTAAAAGATCTTGTAGTCTCTTTTAAGGACATCTCGCAGAATATCAAAAGTAGTGCGAGGCATGGTGCAAGGAGTCCAATTAATACAGCGACTGATGAAAACCTCCAAAGGACTTTTTCGGTGTATGATGGAAAGGTGAAAGACCAGGCTACGCAATGAATTGCTCCAAATAAAACACCCACCGCCACAATTGTTGGTGCGCGAATGTGGGGAATAACAGATAGTGGGCCACCCGACCAGAATCGGGGCACGCCATCTTCAATAGTGATGGAATTTTCAGTGTGGCAAATACCGAGTATAGTCGCTAATATTTGACTGGGCAACTGGAGCACAAATGCTACAGCATTAAACAGCACAGTGGTAAATGTCTTCACGTGAGCCTGTGAAAGGTTCTCAGTCTGAGTCTGGGTCTGAGTCACGGTGTTCTCCGGGGATAGGACTGAGGTAGGGCGAGTGCTGCTGTCTTTAGGGGCGGATGCGGTTGTGAGATAATTCGGACCAGTGGGTAGGGTTGTCTCCGATGGTGTCGGTCCCACACGAATATGATATTGCACATTGAGTGGTTTTTGCAGCCATAGGAGGGATGCGATAACGCTGGGCACTGCGAACGCGAGCGCCGTGACTTCTACGAGCGTGATAGCAAGATCTTGATTGGCTCGTGCAACGCACTGGGCTTGAACAAACCAAGATATTTGGAGAATGGAAAGGGCTTTGGAGAATTCGTCGCCTTTGCTCTTGTCCTGGATCGTATGTTCATCTATCTTCTCCAATTCCTTCACCAATTCCGGTTTCTGTTCCAACACTTCGAGTGTAAGAATCACCTGCCCTTCGTGCGGTTTCTCGTAAAAAAAGCCACCCATGCTGAGGAAGAATCCATGAGTCAAAGTCAGCTTTGATGGATTTGGGTGCCCGAGTATCTTTGCCTTCACAAGAGACCGTATAGAAACACCCTGTTTGTCTGGCAATACCGGCGATGAGAACAGGTAGCTGGAGAGAATGTGACATGCTTACCGAGACAGTATACTTTCCACGCCACGATTAACTGTGACGCAGCCCATGCAACGATGACTTCAGGTGCAAGAACTGCAATGACCATCGTCTCTGCACGGTCCAAAGACCTGAAGAACCATCCCCTTTCCGTAAGTTTACGACCTGGCACGTTCCGATGCACAGAGAGCCAAGTGCATGCGAATATTGTCACAAGGCAGCCCCATATGATATTCCAAAGCGTTCTGCGAGGATCCGAGCCTGACGGTGAACCATCATTATCATCGGGAGGGAGAGGCGCGTTCAGGACTGGAGAAATGGACTGAAAAAAGATAGCAAATATAAGGTGCAATTAGTTCGTAAACATGGCTGCAAAGAGGTTTGCACGTTAGGGTGTGCTACGTGGAAGACAATGTTCTCGTACTTATTCTGGACGCATAAAACTGAGGGGACTCGTAGGCGTTGCTTCTATTTTCTTTGGAATGTGTAAGCATCCTGAACGGTGGACATCGTAGCATGTGTAGTCTCACAAGAATTCTTGATTCCAGCGTAACATTGCGAGTTTCCTTGAAGGAGATAGTCAGTCCATGATAACCCTTCCTTAAACATGAACATACCGGAAGCTCAGGAGTAGACCTCTCCGGGACACAGAATGGGTGCGAAGGTTGCAATGTCAAAACTAATTGGCGGCAGATGATGGTAAGAGCCTAGAATAAGACGATGACTCCCTGACAGCATATGAAGACCGCGATGTTGTCGCATGATTGTGCTTACGCACCATGAACGGGTTTTTTCGCTGTTTGGCGGGCGCTAGGTTGTGATATCAACAATTCAGTAGTGTGATGTCGAGACATAGTGAAAGGAAACATAAGGTTAAGTGCCAGAAGTTATATGATAGATGGAAGGAGTGCTCTTCACATTGTGCGGCAAACTGAAGGTTGACGGCAAGTCACAGGGTGGTTGAAACGTTGTCGGCGCTTAATTGTAACCGATACGTATGATGAGGCGTCTGAAGGTGGGAAATATATTCTTCAAACAGTAGGCGCGGAGGGGCACGCTCTTTCTTCTGTTAGTCGCTTGATCTGATAATGGGAAAGACAGCACTGTGTTTGGGAGAAACGAAAGAATGTTTGCGTGTACTCCAGCTATAATCCTTGAATGGCGGTATGTAAAAAGATGTTGTTTGAAAACGGCGCAATGGCGTCTCAGTATACGGTGATTCCATACAGCAAAAGGCACTGAGCTCGCATGACTTCAGCATTGTCGTAAGGAGAACGTGAATTTAAGATGGAAAAGCTAGCATAAAGGTCGCGAAGAATCACTTCCAACGCCTCGTTGTAGTGTCGAAAGTATAATTGAAGTATGAGATATCCATTCGTGTGAATGAATGGGAATGGTTCCCCACGGAACGTTTACATATTTGTGTGAGGACGATGGAGGGAAGAACCCTAATAACCTCACGAGGACTACGGTATCCAGTTGAAAAAGAGCATACGACAGCGAATTACCCAGAGGACGTGGTGAACGTGATTTTCAAGGAGCCCGAGCCGATAGCGTCCCGACTTCATTATTATCGTTTGTTGATTCTTGTGGTTGTCGCCATCCTCCGTCCCCTCATCATGAGCCTCGTTGCTTTTACCTCGTTCAGCAGATTGGGGTGATCTCGCCTTTCCTTACTGATCGAGTGTCGTCTACTTACGTGTTGACATTCAGTGTGGGAAGAAAACATGACCTCTCGATTGCCTGCCACACCGGTTTGACGCCGGGTGAATGCTATGGTGTGGAGTAAACCAGGCTGCTCGTCGTATTTTGTCTACTTACGACGTTCCAGTAAAGTCTTCCATGGCAGGAACCTTGTCTTCGAAGCAGCTATTGTCGCATGACTTGACCGTGCATTTCGCATGTGGAATTTCTTAACGTCTGGGGGAAGAATTCGAAATAGTACATGTACTCTTCTCTCCACTGCTTGAAGCCAGAGCCAAGGGATCACCAGCCGACCTACATACCACCTTCAAGATGTGATATCTCTCTGTCACACCCTGCTCAGTGTCACCTCGAATGCCAAAGGCAATGACTACTGAATATTCGTATTTGTGCTCATACGCCACCTCTGTGAGTATTCTGGTCGTAAGAGTACGGAGCCGTGAGATGTTTGAAATTTGGTTACCCTACGAGAACTGGCATGGCGTTAACGATAGATGGAATGTTTCGTCATCTCGCGAGGTGTCCAGGTGCCTCATACTCTACATTTTGTTACTCCTTCTCATCTCTATCCTCAGATATCGAGCGCAAAATGTTGATTGTGATCCAAATCCATCTTTCTGGCTTCGCGCCAACTCCCGTCCTTTTTTTGACGTCATTTAGGGCATGTAGCACGTGGTCTACGGTGCGAACAAATCGTCCTACCACCATTGACCAATTCTCTAGGTGAATCATTTGCACTATTAAGCTATTTCTTGATCTTGATCGAACTCATCAATGTGTAGTTATTTTTTGAACTCGTCGGATTGCCATATCATAGTCGTCGATTCTCCCAATCCTCGAACCTCCTCTTCACTTCACGTATACGTCTCAACAATACTGTAAAGGTCATGATTGTGGATCTTAGTGTTTTGGGAGTTTTGGTGAGTCTATACGTCTATTTTATTCTTCCTTCTGCGACTTACGACCGATTCCAGGACTTCCTGCTGAAGTGCAATTGAACAGGAAGCATCTTCTGCAGTTCGTGTACTCATTCCAACCTACTTTTTCGAACCAACGACTGAACGACTCTCGTAGCCCTCATCAGCCTTTTTACCAATACCGTGGCCGCTTTTATTTCAATAGAAAGACTAGCAGTCACTACAGTATACATTTTCACTGTTTCTGTCTATGTCTTTTGCCTACCACCGCACACAAATCCTAGGTTATCCCTAATTATTCAACGATGACCACAAATTTCTCTGGTGCACTTGGTGCACTGGGTGCCACACTTCTCTCGTCATCCACAGCAGTGCATACGTCAGGATGCATTGTTACGACCCTGGTCGTTGCTGTGGTGCAGCCGTCCACCTTCTCTCCGCAATATTACCCCTTGACGACTCTTATGTCGACGACTGGTTTTTTCGGGCTTTCTACTAATGCATTATGAAGGACAGGACATGTGGAGACAGGACCCTTAACCTGACTCATATCCCCCGGAGGACGTTTCCTGGGCTACAAGCACCTCGACGACCACAACCCGTATAGATCCTGTTCCATGGGAGCCATTGCTGTATTCGTTATATTTGTCGATTCGTTTTCCCACACAGACGCGCCGGTACTAGCCAATCTATGGATGGGCTTTGTATGTGCTGTTTTCTTTTATTTGATCAGGCCGTGATGCTGATTTTGTCGTAGTATTGGTGGGGGCGGAACTTTTACAGCTCACGGAGCCTTATCGGATAACACGGTCCTGTCTAATGGCGGCGCAACGGAGGATAGTATTCTCGGCATGGAACTGCTGGCACGAAAACCAAATCCGTGGCAAACCATGTCGTAGGTCGGAGTGTACAACGGCGCAACTGGACCAGCGTCCTTCCTATTTGCGACAGACTATTATCATCCTTGATGTGAGGCTTCGTGTTTCAACTCTTTCTTTCTCGTTTTCACACCCCAAATCCTCAACTCAATGGTATCTCATCCGGCTCACGCGTCCATGATAACAGCACGCAATGAACGACATATCAGTTTCTCTGCTTCGATTTTGAACAGAACTGGCAGGAGAAACGTGAAGACGCACTGTGAAACCAGAGTAGAGTCAAATGCTCTTCCGTAGCATAATCGTTGAGAACACCGTATATAAACCGGGGTGTTCTCCTCTCACCGACGTTGATTCCTACCTGGCTTTTCTCGTGACGAATATAGAATATTATCCCTACGTTATCGTCACACCCGAGGCGTCTTTCGCCTATCGTCCTTAGCTCTAAGATATAGCGACGTCTGTTGTAGCGCTCGCATAGATGTCCCAGGTAAACCGTGTTCTTTTGAAGCAGGACCCTGGGACATGCTACAGTTCTTATACGCGACTGTGACCTGTTATGTTTGGAGACTTCTTCACTATGTGCAGCAATTACTGCGTCTCTGAGTCTCGCTGCAAAAAGTATTCGTCCTCTCTACCTATCGAAGAACAGATTCGTGGTCTGTTAGACATTGTGCTGCTAGATTGTTCATGACGCGTAGAATCTGGGTACAAGTCTTTTCATCTTCAGGTCGTAACTCGGTAATGAATTGTTGTTATACCCGGAATGTTCCCATGGATTAAGCTTTGGGGAACTACTAATCGTAGCCCAGAATGATGCTGCGTGGTGAGGCTCCGGTTCATCAAGAGAAGCGCGTGTTCCGTTCCACTGATACCGCAGTTGGCCAGGAAATACTTCGAGATGTGGAAGCAGAATCGGACAATATCCATCTACACGAAACATACGTCCTCGTAATACGGTCACCTCGAACTGAAGGCTCTGCAAAACAATTCCTTCGATATTTTCAAATGATATCGTATGGGGAATCGAAGGTGATAAAAACATCACACAAGCATCAATTCACGCAGCACTGAAGCTGTTAGACTACAGCATCACAACTCCAAGACGTACAATATGCATGATCGGCCCCAGAGCGGCCCGACACCCGTGTTTACGTCTATTGATCTGACTGGTTTTTCTTCCTTCCTTTCACTTGTCATCACCATCCGCTCCAACCCTCGCACCCTTAAGAAGGACAGTAATTACCGCTGGGCAGATAAACCGCAATGATGGTTGTGGACGGAAAGATCCTGTTGGTCGCATCTCGATGCCATCGAAAGAAAGGATTGCGGAAACTCCATGAAATCGATTGCCGAGAACGTTTAGCGTGATGGTTGGGTGTAAGACTGTTCCCACCAAGCCTTCCCCCGGACATAATTTCAGTTCCATTCCACAAAGCAGTAAAGCGCTGCGGGAATCAGTCTTTTCGTATTTCCATTTTGTGTACTGGATTCGTTCGACTGGCGTTTCCGTTCTCAGGACTGGAAAGATCCGGACGTAAAGCTGTTATTTTCCTACGAATGAAGGAGAATAGGTCTTCCTCTCGATAGCATAACTTTGTCTCGCGAAAATCCGGTCACTCCATGACCAGAATCCCCGTGCTATAATCTTTGGCTATCATATTGAGTATCTCTGTTGGACATTTAGACTCATAGATCTACTCCATATCACATGAAGGATATACACGCGTCCCAATTTCGCCGGAAGCAGA